TTCCGGGACGTCGAATTCGTCTGTGCTTAATGCTGAGATCTCGAGCCCCGCCGGAGAGGAGGAGTCTTGTTCTACGAGGACGCTAGGGCTTCAGTTTGGGATACTGAGGAGTAACCGGGACGAGGAGGAGGCCGAGGGTTTTGTGACGAAGGAGCTGTTTCCGGCTGCGGCGTCGTCGTCGTCGTCGTCGTCGTCGAGGGCGGCGCATTGGGCGGATCTAGGGTTGCAGCACGTGCAGGCGACGGGGCAGCACGTGATGCCGCAGCAGCAAGTGAAGAAGAGCAGGCGAGGGCCGAGGTCGAGGAGCTCGCAGTACAGAGGGGTTACTTTCTATAGAAGGACCGGGAGATGGGAGTCTCATATTTGGTCTGTGTTCCTTTTTAAATTTCATTTCCCTTTACATGGGATTCATTATTTTTTGGACTATTGTCAATTTTCTAATGATTAAAGTTGGTGTTTTGCTCAGGGACTGTGGCAAGCAGGTCTATTTAGGTGAGGATTTGACGCATTGAGTGAGGATTGAAGCACTTGTGGTTGCTCTGATTCGTTCGATTTAATTTATGTTTGTGTTTTTCAGGAGGATTTGACACTGCTCACGCTGCTGCAAGGTTTCAGTTTTTTTTTTTAAAGTTTGATTGGGGCTCCAGATTGGTCCTATTTCGTGTAGCTATCTTATATTCGCTGGAAAGTTGTGAATTTGTTCTTTTTATTTATGTGCAGGGCATATGATCGTGCCGCAATAAAGTTTCGAGGAGTTGATGCTGATATCAACTTCAATCTAAGTGACTATGATGAGGATCTGAAGCAGGTGAGCTTTGTGCTAGGTTGTTTGTTGTTTTAAAGGGAGGTAACTTGCTTGTTGTGTATATTGATTGTGGTTGAATTTGTTTCAGATGAGGAACTTGACCAAGGAGGAATTTGTTCACATACTTCGTCGACAGAGCACTGGGTTTTCAAGAGGAAGCTCAAAATACCGAGGGGTTACTCTTCATAAATGTGGTCGATGGGAGGCTCGGATGGGCCAATTCCTTGGCAAGAAGTATGTATGAATCTTTATCTCCTTTATTTTTTTTCCTTGGGAACTTGTAGAATCGATTTAATATCTTACTTATTTATCGTACTGTCTGTATTGTGTGTGAATCACTCGAGAGTAAGGGTGAGTTATGTAGAGTAACCTCATGGTAATGGTGAGTGAGGCTAAAAGAGAAGGTTTTGGAAAACCCAAGTTTACCGATGAGAACCTGATGCTTGCATGCAGGTACATATACCTTGGGTTATTCGACAGCGAAATAGAAGCTGCAAGGTCCTACAAGAGATTTGGATTTGTTTAGTTGTTGCGGTGAATTTCTTTAAAGTTAAGTTTTTATCGGTCCCTTCCAATATAAATCCTCTGCTTTCCATTTCTTGGTTTTAAACATCAGGGCTTATGACAAAGCGGCTATCAAATGTAATGGAAGAGAAGCTGTTACTAATTTTGAGCCCAGCTCTTATGAAGGGGAAATGCTTCCTGAGCCCGATAGTGAAGGTATTGTTTCTTGATTGATTTTTTTCCCTTTCAATTGTGAGGGGTTTGATTAATTTGTATATATGAATTGATTTGGTACTTTTATTTACACATTTGATAGCCATTGGCCATGACCTAGATCTGAACTTGAGGATCTCTCAACCGAATGTTAGTAGTCCAAAAAAGAGCGACAGTTCCATGGGTGTTCAGTTCCATTTTGGTTCCTTGGAAGCTTCTGATCCGAAGAAAGCTAGGGTGAGTATCTCATTAATACAATAATTTTGACCAAGAAAATTTATCCTTTGTGTTAATAACTAAATATAATTTAGCTGTTGATTATCAATCATTGTGTACAATGGGTGGGAAGTTAGGAAAAGTTCATTCCAATTCTTTGTGCTTTACAAGTATCTTAGCATTGTGTACAAATTGAACATGCAGCCTTTCTAATTTACGGCATCCTAATTTGTTTATTTCTTGATGATCCAGGTGGAAAACCATCCATCTATTCTGGGTGGTCAGCCTCATAGCTCTGCAATGACATCCGAGCATCCTCAAGCATGGAGTGCTCTTTATCCCACATTATATTCCTCCAGAGAGGTAAATTCTAGATTTTTTTTTCCATTACAGTTTTCTTCCTTATATGAATTAAATATCCAACTGTGGATGGTTTGCTTAGCATCATTACCAATGTTGAAATTCATATTTAACCGAGACACTGGATGCAGTTATCTTTTTTTTTGTTCATATCTGTTATTGTAATAAGGTGTTCTATTTGATACGTGCAGTTTTCAGAGTTTAATCAGCTGTTTGAGTCTTAAGGAATGTTTTTTTAATGGCGAACTTAAAGGCTCAATGCTCATTATACTATAGTAGTAGGCGATAAAAATCCAGCAAGAAATTTAGTGTCTCTGATCAAATTCTCTCTCTCTCTAATATATATATATATATATATAGAGAGAGAGAGAGAGAGAAAAATGGGTATACTTGGTACCAAGGATCCTTGGTAGTGATGTGGACACATCTTGTCCATACATCACACCTTGAAGATGGAGCCTCACCAACTTCAAGGTGTGATGTATGGACAAGATGTGTCCACATCACTACCAAGGATCCTTGGTACCAAGTATACCCATTTTTCTCTCTCTCTCTATGTCATGATGTTTTTATAAAATATTTCTCAGCTGTCCTTGATGTGAGTAGAATTCTCGAAAATCTAAATCACATTGTAAACTTTTCTCATGTGGAAGGAAAATTCCAAATTTCCATTTTATCTTAAAATGTCTTCTAATACATTGTCAATTGCAGATTCTCTCAAAATTTGCAGTCTTGAAAGTTTGATGAAACTGCCATCCTTTCACTGCAGACATGGGAAATTTAATTTTTGATAGCTTTTAGGATTAAATCACTGCACAATTTCCTAATCAAATCATCAATCCCATTTTTCTTCGTTTACATATTTTTGGTACTGTTACTATTTTTTTTCCTTTATGTCATCCTTGTTTCTCACATGGTATCCCAGCGCAGGTAAGAATCGTTTTTGAGTATGCCTTTAGCTCTTGATTTAAAGTCAATCATTAAATTCGGAGTTCATGGTTCGTTGACTAATCAACTGGTCTTCTTTAAAAAAATTAAAGCAACTAATCTATGATTTGTTGTATATTAGTAAGAGATCTTTATGTTATGTAGGAGATGTTCCCCTAATTTTCATATTGTCTGCTCTGCTGTCTTATGGCACATTGGTGTTTTCAAAGAAACCAAATATCATATGTAGCTACGTAGAAAATTTATAAAGTATAAAGCTAATGTCTCCATGCACAGTCCCTATTATATGAACATTTATTGCAGTCTTTGGTTCCTTTAGTTGTTACTTCTGTTGAATTTCCTTTTTCATCTTCTTCGAGTCTCATTTCCTTGTGTTCTTTTCATATTTTTCGTGTGTCATTCGTTTATGTTCTTATGCTCTTAGTGGTTACTAACACAGGATAGGGCCGCAGAGAAGAGGCCAATTGTCAGTTCTGCCATCCCTAACTGGACATGGCCACTGCATGGATCATCATCGACGTTGCCGCTATTTTCTTCTGCAGCATCATCAGGATTCGCCGCCACCACCAGCACCACCTCGGCTGCCACTGCTCCCCCTCCCCCTCCCACCGCCCACCATCTTCAGTTTCCTCCACCCACCACCAATTACTACTCCAGGAACTGAAGTCAATTGCAATTGCATTCTAAAGGTACATACATAGTGTGTGCATGTATGTACTCATGTGAAATTAACATGTGATACTAAAGACGCATACCCAAGGGGGAGGCGAAGCAGAGGATATTCTTATGCAAAGGAATAAAGCACAGGGTGGTTCATGTTTTCGTTGGCATCAAACGTACAAAATGCATTCTTCCAAGAACTTCTACACATAAGGGGCTGTTTGGTTCATTTCCTTGAAATCTAAGTTTGGGAGATTACTTATGGGAAATAGGTTGTGGGGTCCATTTCCACGTTTTTAAGCTCATTTCATCACATGTACAACATTTCTTTTTTTTTTCCCTCTTTTAACCAAACACAAGAAAATGAAATCAAACACCTTCACGTGTGTGTCGGGTGTCTTGATTTTCTTTTCTTAGTTTCTCGGCCAACCAAAAAGCCTCCTCTAATTGTTCACACACACGAGATACACGTGATTGAGTTCCTTTTTTGGGGGTGTATCTTGGTGCATGACAGCGTGTTGGGCTTTGGGGGGCTACCCAGCCTGCCCAAAGTAGGAGGGTCAAAAGACTCGTGAGCTGTGAATGCTTTGGGGACTTTGAGAAAACTTTTAGGCCTATGTTTATTAAGTTCCTCCCACTTTTGATTCCAATGTCGTATGATAGGGATGAGTGTACCCTTGCTTTATGTGATTGCTTTATGTGAGAAAGAACGAACAGCCGCTCTCTGTTTGTCACGCCTATTTTGTTCCTTGCCTTTTAAAACCTCATCTCCACAAGTTTCTGCTGCCGCTGAGCGCTGCTGCTGCTGCTTTCACTGCGTTAGGCCCATTTCCTTGGACTTGTCCAGTTCAAATTTCTCTTTCATTGGGTTCCAGAGGGGGAGTGAAAGACAATGGATGCTGGGCCCCGCTTAGCCTTTTATTGGCCTAGTTTTGTACTTTGTGTAGGTGGCCATCTCAACACTTTGCATTGTTTGGTGAAAGGCATTCCTAGAAATTGACTGATTTTGGCACAGGACTAAGCGTAGATGAGCGGATTCTGACTGTTAATATTGATTGTGTATTTTTGCCACTACCCTAAAATTGTGCCGGTGCTGGTTTAAAAATCTTGAGGGGGTGGGTCCCAAACAAAATCATTTTGGAGCCCAAATTTGATCCAGATTTATCCAGAAAGTTTTTTTTTTTAAATTCAAAATGAGATAATGTTTAGCCATGGTCATGTTTTAAGGAGTTGTCAAACACATTCTAACAGGTGTAGGTTACGTCTTTTGCTTGTTAACTCAATTGGTGGGCTCTTGAACTAAGGGCATTTTTGACAATTGGTCAAACCGGCT